GTTCTTCCTCATATTCAACTGAAACCTCTCGTGTTTCAGTTTCCATCCATTGCCCCTAGTCCTGTCGCTGGACACCACTGCAAACAGACTGCTTCCGTCCTCTTGACTTCCGCCCTTAAGATATTTGTATGCGTTGATGAGATCCCCTCTCAGTCTTCTCTTCTTCAGGCTGAACAAGCCCAACTCTCTCAGCCTTTCCTCGTAGGGGAGATGCTCCAGTCCCTTTATCATCCTAGTAGCTCTCCTCTGGACTCTTTCTAGGAGTTCCTCGTCTTTCTTGAACTGGGGAGCCCAGAACTGGACACAGTACTCCAGGTGGGGTCTCACCAGGGCAGAGTAGAGGGGGAGGAGAACCTCCCTCGACCTGCTGGCCACACTCCTCTTAATACACCCCAGGATACCATTGGCCTTCTTGGCAACAAGGGCACATTGCTGGCTCATGGTCAGCTTATTGTCCACCAGGACTCCCAGGTCCCTCTCAGCAGAGCTGCTATCTAGCAGGTCACCCCCCAGCCTGTAATGGTGCATGGGGTTCGACCTCCCCAGGTGCAGCACTCGACACTTGCTCTGGTTGAACTTCATCAAGTTCCTCCTTGCCCAGCTCTCCAGCCTGTCCAGGTCCCGCTGAATGGCAGCACAGCCTTCCGGCGTATCAGCCACTCCTCCCAGTTTTGTGTCATCAGCGAACTTGCTGAGGGTACACTCTATCCCCTCGTCCAGGTCATTGATGAACAAGTTGAACAAGACCGGGCCGAGTACCGAGCCCTGGGGAACAAGACATAAAGACTGCGACAGTTCTGGTGTTAATAAAAATAGCTAGTAAGGATTTGAACACTGTAACTTCTTTCGTGAAGCTTGTAGCGCTCATAACAATGCAACTCCCTTCTCACAAAAAGTGTTGGAAGACCTGGAGATCACGGAGTGCAGCTCTAAGGAAGGGTATTGGGAGCATTTTGGCACTGGGTGTACTGAAGTGGAGATAGACAAAAGGAGTTACTCGAGTTAGAACTGAACTCATATGCCATAGCGCACAGTCCGCTTTTCAAAGGAAGTGATGGACCAGCC